TCGGACTATGAATGCTAATATATACACATATGTAAAACCATAACTTCTTACAGGTTTTGCTTTATCTGTTACAATTTTTGAGATATTGCAAAATTTTATAACATCAATAAAGTAAAAATAAAATTTATAAAGTAAAAAAAAATTATCGTACACTTTAACCAATTTATTATCTATAGAAATTTGAATTTAATATTAACGAGCCCAGAAAAAACTTACCACTTATGTACAAACAAATTAAGTTAGTTTCTCAAATCGAGAATATTGAGCATTATAATTATAAAATTTTATTTTTATTTTAATGCATACCAATTTATTTACAAAATATACATACATACAGATGTCCCTTTATAATAGTAGAAGTAAATAATTGTAACAGTTCACCTATAATTTTAATATTTTGCCGTATCCTGATAGGTATAGAAAATTTTTGATAATGAAAAATAGTTTTACTATAAGGATACGTTCATATATAAATTTATCATATTTAGTGTTAAAAAAAATGAAAAAAAAATATTTTAAATAAGTTTATTTATACTTTTTAGAATTTTTAATAAATTATGGTACTTAATGTCTAATTTCTATGTTTAATTCATAGAAAATTTGTTTTTGTTTTCAAGAAAATTGAAATTTTTTTTTTCATTTAATACTTTGAATGCTATAAAATGAAAATTTGTTTTTTTTTCTGTTTTTAATTTGTGGAACATAAGTATTGTGGAAGAAATCTTACACAATATAGGGAAGAGGAAAGAGAAATAACAAAAAAAGTTATCATCTTCCATCCTTTATCCTTTCCCTACATATGTATTTTTTGTTTCTTTAAAAAAATACATCCAATACATTGATAATTTTAAATAAAAGAGTATATCTTTTTAATTTGTATGAAAGTTGTATTTATTTATTCAAACATACATATGTATATATTTTTATATGCATGTACATTTATGTATTAATAGCTATATATGAATATGTGCATAGTTATTAAAATATAAATGTCAATATATGAACAAAACATCATTTAAAAATATATTGACATTAAAATAAAAATATGTACAGATACATAATATACTTGAAAAAGATTACCAATGCATTTACATAGTGAAATAATAATGATTATTTTAAGATGAGAGCAAAAAAAAAAAATGAGTGCATAATATCATGTCAGGATATCAACAGTAATAAGATAACAAAATAATATTTATGCAGGTATATTATAAAAAGTATATCATAACAGTGTATAATGACAATTATTTAATACATATACACATTGCACCTACATTCGTACATATTTACAAAAAATTTTAATACGTAACATTATGGAAAATGTTGAAGAACACATCAAAACTTTTAGTAATTATTTCCAAATTTACAATATATACACATATACACATATAGTATATAGTAAAAAAGGCAAAAATTATAATTAAATACAAATAATAATTTTATGTTAAAAAATAAAATTTACGCAAATTTGTATTGCAAATTTTTTTTAAAGTATAGAAAACTCATCAGCATGAAATTTGTACTATGTAAGAATATAGTATAATACATACATCATATATATATGTGCAGATATTATATTTGTACATACATATAATTGAATATGTCATTTTTTCGTGATCGGCTATCGGTTATATTCGGTTTTAGTATAGTATTAATATTAAATCTATTATATTTTATTTTATTGTAAATTACAATATAATAGTATACAAACAGATATGCATATTGTATATGAATTTAAATTATATTATCATTAGCAGAGTGGTGAGAAGAGTGGTTTATACATGTACATAGGTATACATAATTTTTTTTTCACAAGAAAATTCAATTCTCACACAAAATCCAATATAAAAAAAATATACAACTCATAAATTTTGCATGCATATGTCAATATTTATGTACATGCATGTAAATCCATACATATATGAGATATATAAAATATAATTTTTTTATGTATAGAATATATTTTATAATGTCAAGTTACAAAACAATATTTTACACCCCTTCTCCTCCCACTTTTATAAATTCAACTTTTTATAAATTCATGTACACAGAGTGAAATAATAGGTAGGAATACTTATATTTTTTATATAAATATATTTATATACATATTTATAAATTTGAATATCAACCTTATATTATATTATATTATATTTTCATATAAAACAAGAATTACAATATTAAGGAGTCTTAACAAGAACGTATACGTATGTGTAAAATATAATTTCTAGAATAAAAACAAAAAAGTTTTTATGTGATACAAAAAAAAATTTCTTTTCAAAACATAAATACATACATTTATAATGTATTGACTTTTACCTACAAACATAATATTAATGGAAAATCTATGTATCCTAAATGTATAACCAAAAAATTTTATAAAATACTAAAATCTTATAAAATATACATACATATTTACTGTTATATTCACCAATTTGTGAATTTTTGTGCTGAATACTATAGTAAATATATGTATTATAAACACCATTCGTAACAACAAAAACAACAGCACCAACAATAACAATAATAAGAAAATTTCTCTCTAAATACAAAAGATTTTTCTTATTATTGCATACTTTTGGGAGATATTTCTTATTTACGGCATTATAGAAGAAAATGTCTACAACCGTTTTCTTTACATAACATTTTTATTTTATTTTTTCATTTTTCAGCAGTTTTCTTAAAGTTCTTTTTACTTTTTTTTTCCAACTCAAAATATGTATTATATAGTTTAATACGCATACGATAATATTATGTGTATATATGCAACGCATGTATATACACATATTTGCAGATATTTAACATATACCATTTTAAAAGGACGTAAAAAAATGAAAAATCAGTGTTTTGTATTTTAAATGTACAAATTTTAATCTTTTTAATACAGTTTTAGTATTAAAACACATACACAAATTTGAAATATGAAATGTAGAAGAAAAAATATGTATTATATTTTTACAATACAAAATCATAGTCAGTCAGTCTGTATGGTCACGCGCAGTGATAAACGTATAATATAAAATTTGAGTATAAAGACCATATCATGAAAATACAAAATATGAATTTATGTTTTCTTTTATTATATGTATGTTGTAAAGATTTGTATGCATTTACACAGTAAAACAATATACATATACATATATACAATATAGAAGCACGTTTATGTTCAGCATCAAAGTATTCAGCATCAACAACATCTTTCAAACCATCTTCTATAAAGTATATGTCATGTTTGAATTTACACATAATATTATATTACTAGACAAATTTACACAAAAAAAAGAATTCAGATATTCACAAATACAATGTTATATGTTTATGTGTAAGTAAATTGTATAGAGGATAAGAAATGGTATAACAAAAATTATATTGTTATTTTTTTCTTATAAGAATCTCAATTTTTTTAACATGCTCATCATATGTACAATAATTTTGTATAACACTTAAATTGCATTTTTGTGACTAGAGTAACATTATTTTATATTGAAAAAAAATATTTTATATTCGATCTAAGCAAATTATATATACATATTTAAATTTAATTTATTCCTAATTTTCTACTCGAAATATATTATTTTTCCGTATGGATTGCATTCTTCTCGAAAATTTATTCTTAAAAATAAAATTTTTGTAATACATACATAATGAGTAAACAACGATACAAATAATTTTCAATAACATCCCAAATTTCGAATATTCTCAAATGTCAAAATTATATGCATACATATTTCGATTTGTTTGTATCAAACGCTTATGCTGGAAAATTTTCTATCCTATAGATAAAATGTAATAAGAATAGAAATTTTTAATTAGAAGAAGTAACCTTACTTAATTCATATTCCACGTTAAAACGTGTATATTATTGTCTATATCGTCTAAAATTTCTTCGTATCTAAATAAATCCGGAAAATATTTCGAAAGAACTTTGATAATGCTGATTTTGAGAATCTACTAGTAATTAACAAATAAAAAATTATTTATATCTTCCAATAGAAGGACATATGAATATTAAAACACTTGTCCTTCCTTTAAAAATTTCTTAAAAAATAATGACAATACATTTTTTGAATGCTTTAACTCTATCTAAAAAAATTATGCTTCATTCTTCCTTGTTCATTAGTGAAATATAGTCGACATAATATAACATCCTAAACCTTTTTTTACCCACATATATTTTACTCTCTCTATCACGAAATTTTCAATAACATAAAGCCTTTCTTGTACCATATGAAACAATTTGTTAATTTACAAATTGTTTGATAGTCAAAAATGCTACAGTTTTTCAGAGTTCCCAAGAAGTCTTAATAAATAAAATCAGTTTCAGCTTTAGTTTTTTTTTATTACTTTAAGATTAAAACTTCAAGAGATACCGTTTGCACTCATTTTTATTAAAATTCCTGGAAAAGCCATTTATACAGAATTTGTGTATAATTGAAATATATAGAAATGTTAACTATAAATATTTCTTTGAAAATTTAAAAAAAGATCGACGACACTGCATAAAAACTTATAACTTTTGTATTCGCTGTAACACTGATCTTCGATTTCATATATTCAAATCAAAATAGACTCTAATTTAATAGAATATCTGTATATCTAGCTAGCATTCATCTTTCTCTCTATATTTTTATATAAATATAAATATATGCATATATAAATACGCATATGTGTGTATTTAAAAAAAAACTCGAACTTTTACAATATTTTAAAATTTTTATTTTATAAAATTACCCTACAATTCTCCTGCCAAAAAAAAACTCTTTTCAAATCTCATAAGAACACAATAAAAATAACAACAACAATATTAATACTCTGAGAGAAAAAATATCGGGAATAATATTTTATTTATTATTAGTTTTATATGGTAAGGTAATGGTATATTACTATTGTTGTATAACAGAATGTGTATAACAATATAAGAGAAAATTTATATAAAAGTTATTTTTTCCACATCCCAAAAGAGTCGAGTGTATAATGAAAATTTTATCTGAGAAGAAAAAGAATTTTCATTTAGGAAAGAAGAACAGAATAATTTTTTTTCTACCATGAAAAAATGAAAAAAATTTAAATTTATTTAAAAAAAAAAAGCATATTTTAGTTGAATAAATTTTTTTAATAAAAAATAAATTTTGCTTTTTGTAATTAAAATTGAAAAAATAAACTATTAAATTAAAGTTAAAATCAAAAGAAAAAAATATGGTGAAAAATTTAACAAGTGGAAGAAAAAAATATGAAAAGATTTTCTAAAAAAAGAAAAAGAAAAAAATAAAAAAGTGAAGAAGGAACGACAAAGTAAAAGAATTTTCCAATTGTTCTCGGAGTCTGTCAAAAAATATATGTGAATGTATGTATATATGTTAATGGATAAATGTGTGTATATACATTGTAATATTAAAGTATGTACGTATATGTACATACAAATACATACATTTTCGTAATAGCGTATTTGATTAAAAAAAAAATTAAATTTTTAAAAAAATTAATTTTCTTATTGAGAAAAACTAATTTTTGTTTTGTATAGAGCCTAGGTAGCTACCAAAATTCTTTAATTTGTTTTTCATATTGTTTTATAATAAAAAAAATATTAATAAAGGTAAAATTTTATGAATACAAATTTTCAAATTGCGATTATGAAAATGAATTTTATTTGTTAAATTTTTTTTTTTTACTTTTCACCTCTTGAAATTTATATTTTAAAAAATTTGTAATGAAAATTTTGCAAATTCAAGTTAAAATATTAGAAAAATTAAATATATTAATATACATATAAGTATGTACATATATATACGTCCTAGGTATTTTATTCAAAATGTACGTATATGTATACAAATGTGTATTTAATAATGACATGTATTAGCATTAAAGGACTTTTTATCTTATAATAATATACTTGTTTAAATATATATACATAATATGTGTATATTTGATAAAATACTTAAAACAGTGAATTCGCGCTTACTTAAACTTTTGAAATATATGTGTATGACTGTGTATGAAACATAATATAACGCAGGAAAAATCAATTATAATAAATAATAATTTTAAATAATTTTTATATTAATTTGTGAAACTGAAAGCAAAATTAAACGTTATGGTGCATTCAAAAAGTTTTTATCATTTCTTTCAATTATTTCGGTTGAGCTTACAATTTTGTATAGCTATAGTTTTCAGTTCTTTTTAAATTTTTATAGACTCTTTGTAGTTGCAAGCACGAATCGAACTTAAGTTTACTATTTTTAGCTTTTTGCTGTCATATCGACCAATATAATCCTTAACTTATCAACTCCAGTTGCCAAAATAATTATATTAAAGTTTGAATAATATTTTTGTTTATAATTATCTTTTTATATAGTTTATGAATCAATTAAATATTTTGAAAGTATAATTTGAACACAATTATTTAAAAATTTCAATTTAAAGTCAAAATGCTGTGCAAATGGTATGCAAACTTATTACTTATATATATAATTATTAAACCACTAAATTTCGTGTAATGGAAAAGAATATATTATAACATATACAGATACATTTACATTGCACACGTTATTTATTTATTTATTTTCATGTTTAGCTCAGTCATTTTTACAATATGCAAATATTATGCATATTTGCTTTTATTTTATAATTCTGAAATTAAAAATATTGAATGAAATAAAAGTATAATTTTATAATAGTATGCAATGATTTTGTATTCGATTTACAATTAAAACTTTTATTATTGAACAAATTAGATATTTTATTATTAGATGATTATATTATGGTTAGATCAAGAATTTTATAACATAGTACTGTTAAACACATAAAGTAAAAAAAACAAATGAAAGAATTGCATTTAATTGCAACAATCAACTACAAATTATTAAATATTTAGTTGAGATTACGATCAGACTGCAAAATATTTTTCATTCTTTGCCAGAAAAATTACTGAATTTGATATTTTTAGTTTAAATTTGAAATACAAATTTTGCAAATTAAATATTAAATACAAAAAGAAAATCAACCGTCCTGAAATACATTCCATTTCCTCATAAATACATTTTATATAAATATTGACAGGAGTATAAATCCACAGTTATTTATATGAAAACACTTGAAACTCTCTATATAGTACATAATTATATAATCATGTTAATCCCAAATTAATTATAATGAAAACAAGTTTAAAGTAAGTAGTAAATTTTATATACGTATACTATTAACATATATATATTTTTGTCTATTTCATTTAAATGAGTTTTACTGTGTATATACTTACTATGTATGTGTACATATAAATACAAATATATAATTCATATTCATTTATAATTAAACATTTTAAATTAAATATAATTACTATATGGGTGTACAATAAACGTTCATATATCTATATGTATACATATATATTCGCACTAATTACAAAAGATATATTGTACTTATGCACGTATATATATAAATAATATATTTATCAAAATAAAATATATGTACTAATAAATCAAAATTTGGGTTTAAATATATTATACTCAACGATGTACATACATAGAAATATATAACGTGCATACATACATACATATACGAATTAAAATGATTTTTTAAAGAAACAGATAATTATAAAAAAAATAAAAGAAATAAGCAATTCCAAACAGTAAAAAGTATATTTTACATTTTTATCAAAATACTAAAAGTCTAGCCAAAAAAAAAACAAAACAAATAAAAAAAGCACAAAAATATTTAGTGATTTTTTTTTAACTATTTGCTCAATAGTTTGTTTTTAACAAGTTTAAAAATAATAAATTGGTTTATAAATAAAAAATTATTAATATGATTTATTCTTCAATTTATTTTTTCCACAAAAAAAGTAATATTACATAAGGACTATTTATTTCTTATTAATACATACATTATATACCTACTGATATACATTCATATGAATATTTAAAATAATATAATATAAAATCATACATATATTAATTTACAATAAAACTGCACTAAATTTAAAAAAAAAAATTGTGTTCTGAAGTATATTTTTTAAAAATTGTTTTTTTAAATACATTTATACTTAGTTATAAATTTATATACATAATAATATTATTATGTACTTATGTTTTTAATTTTTAATAAAAATATTTGCTCATAAAATTTTGAAAACCCTACAACATTACATAAATATGTAATTATTCTTAAAAATTTAATTAAAGCAAAACTTTTAATAAAATAAAAATTTTTACATAGCATAAAATAAATAAATATGGTGAAATTTTAATAAGGTTATACTTATAGGGAATTAAATATAATATTTAAAATTAAATGTGTTTATATATATACTATAATTAAGTATGTGTATATATTAATACAATGATGTGATTTTCGTTTTTAAAAATACAGAAATTAAGTGAAGAAAAAAATATATAAATATACATAATAATAATATTTTTCAAAAAATTCAGATGCAGTATTATTTAAAATTAAATTCAATATAATAAATATGTGTTTGCATAAATATATTATATACGTATGTATATAAGCATAATATATATGAATATAAAAAGTGAAATATATATTAGTGAAACGCTGTAAAGAGCAATATTCAAGTATAAAAATAAAACTATTAACAATAATTAAAAAATGTATTTTAATTAATAAATAAATACAAAATATTATAAAAAAAAATAAAAATCTATAAAAAGGTGAGTGAATTAAAAAAAAAATCTTTTTAAATAAATTACGTTTCCATTTTTATTTTATACAGAAAAGAAAAAACAAAAATATTAAAGGAAAAAATAATAAGAAAATGGGAAAAATAAAAATAATAAAAAAAAAAAGAAAAATACAGAAAAAAAATTCCTGTACTCCAAATGTTATTAGTCCTTATATACAATTCTATTTTTTGTCTTTTGTCTTTTTGTGTTTTTCAATACAATAATAGATTCAATGTATATCTTATACCTATACATATGCATATATATATGTGTACTAGTATAACATATTGTATTTATTATAAAGTGTGTGTATTTTACAATGTTGTATGCCAATGTTTTATTATAAAACCAGAGGTCTTCAAATTTCTATAATATTCGATTCACATAAATCCTTTTTGTTCTGTTTTTTTGATTTATTTTTGATTAAATTTTGATCTTTAGAATTTTAAATTAATTTATTGTTTCGAATAAGTGTGTAGCTGTTGTAAGTTTAAGGGCTGATTTCAAAAACAAAAACAAATTTATTCATTTTAAAAAAATATTTACAACATACACATTATACAACAAAAACTAAACAATTAGTTAGCACTTTTGCTTTACTACAAAATAAACTAAATTATTACGATATTAAATAAAATACCAAATCAAAAATAATAATAACTTTAATGATGCATTATGAATATTTATATTATATGTACATACATTTTGTATTATACACAAATTATTATAGTGTGTGACAAGTGACAAGTGTTTTTTTTTGTTTTATAAAGTGTAAATAATTAATTTTTTGCAAAAAATTTTTTATAAATTTTCTAAACATGGGAAAATATACTTTATTTCTATAAATTCAATAATGATATATTAAAACAAAAACAAATTCAATTTGAAAAAAAGAAACAAAAACAAAACAACTTTTACTAGAATACAAGTACATAATAATATACAAGTAAATATTTCATTCCTTATCTAAAATTAAATCCAAAGGCCATTTTAGAAAATTAAAGGAATAAAAATATATTTCGTGTCAAAATTTTTTATATATAAAAGAACTTGTTTTTAGAAAGGATCCAGCTGAAATTGTTAAATTTTATTTTGTTACTTTTTACTCAATATCACAACCAAATACTCTATGTCTATTTAAAACTATTTAAAAGCATTCACTGTTTCTCATTACAATCAGGACATAGAAAAACTGTATGTAGTTGCTATTAATATATATTATATATGGTTCCTATAAGTCTTACAAATTGCTCTCTATTTTGCGACGTAGGCACCTAAGCATACACTAAAATAAAAATTTTATGGCACAGTTATAACGTACATACTTGTGAAGAATCGATTCAAAGCCTTTTCTTTTCCACATATTTCTGAAATATAAATATCCAAAATTGCAAAATCTGGCTAGTCACCACATAACCGAAGAAGTTGAAATTACGTTTTTCGAAATTTAGCCCATGATGTAGATAACTGGTCGATTATATCCATGGATTTAATCGTTTGTTATCCATATAAGTTAGTTAAATTTCTCAAGGCATGTTTATCTTTATCCATCTACACAGCTTGATTACGTTTACAGCTTTGAAAAGTGTGTTAAAAAGTAAAAGTTTCCTAGATTTAACACTGTATATTACACTAAACTCTTATAGCAAAAATTACTTTAAAACATCATAACATTTAATTATTTTTATTTAATGCATGCGCGATATATTATAAATATTTATGTTTATAATCATAGTATATAGTTAAAATAATTTTTTTTAATTGAAAAACAATCTGTATATTATTGTAGAAATTAAAATATTAGTTTGATTTACCAATTTTTAAATCATTCAATTTTTAATATAAAAATTTATAAAATCTTCAGGAAAAGTAAAGAACTGCTGACAAATAACGAAATTTTTTTGAGAATTACAATACAATCCAGTTAATTCTCTTTCAATGATATATGATTGTTTCACTTTAAGTTGAATTTTGTTCTTATTTGATATGATTCATCAGTATTATAAATGATTGTAAAGCAAAGTTCTTGTGGTTAAGTATGGTTAAAGATTACCCATTTCAACATATTGCAAGTAATTGCATTTAGTACCAGTCACCTTCAATCATGCTTTGTTAAATTGTTCAGAGCTTTTTTATTGCGGTTGCTTTAACGGTTTTCTTGCAAGCGAATCAATCTATTCCTTATCGAAATTTAGTTTTATTTTAATCCCATTTTGACCATATTTTATTTAATTAACTTTTGCATTGAAAATTAACTTCATAAATGAAGTTCTTGCTACGCTATTAGAATTAATTTTACTCGCAGCTTTGTTATAATTACAAAAATCATTAAGTATAAGTAAATTGTTTTTTTTTTAACTTTTATTCTATAGTTGAAATTAACAAAATCAATTTCCATTTTAAAAAGTTTCTGCAATATTTGGTTATTTTTGATATTAGAACTTATCAATTTAATTTATTCATTTAAATAATTTAAAGCTTTACTCTACTGAAATTCAAATATGCAAGCACTTGAAAGTACAAGCAACGTAGTTAAATACTGGGCAGCTCATGTGATATTCTTTCCTGCAATAAAAACTTGTACAAGTTCCAATTGACTGATATTAATTTAGTGTAGTTTTAGTAATTTTAGTGTGGTTTTCTAATTGCAAAATAACTTTTACTTTCCGAATAATTAAAGAAGTGGATATTGAAAAATTTGTAGTTACGTGCAGTTTTGCCGGCGATATGATCAATATATTTTTAAAAATTAATAAAATATATCGGAACTAAATATATTGCAATTTCTTTAAAAGTAACTATATTTATTTTACAAAATAAAGTGAATTACGAATTTTGAAAAGTGGGATAAGAGGGAGCATAATGCAGTATTCCAACCTTCAAATAAATTTTTTATATATTCAATTTTACCTGAAAACATATATTAAATAAATCAACAATCCTAATAAGCTTTTACTTTGAACAGTTTTTAAAGTTTTTTTTTACAAATAAAAATAAAAAAGAACGGGAATACGTAGAGTTGACCGTGTCAACAGCATAGTAATTTAAGTAAATTCCATAATATAAGACCAAATGACTTTCGAAGATGTATGGCACCTGCCACAACAAATTAAGAAATTTCAGCTAGTTTTATAAAATATAAAACCTGATAAAATATTTGTCTGTGCCTAATAAAATATTTGCTTGTATGAAATATCAATACTGTAGGCTCTACAGTTTCTATGAAATTAAAATAAACTTTTGAAGTTGTATGGCAGCTATCATTAGCACTCATGATATATTAACAGCTTTTACCGAAAATTATGGCTATTTAACCATATCCGTTTATGCAAAATAACGGCAGCTACCGAAACCACTGACTCCATCACATCAATTTATATTCTAAGTACATTTTCAATTCTTCTATCAATTTTAGTAGGGTTCAGACTTTTACTATTATAAATATTTGTAAAAATTTTGTGAGCTTAGCTCACCTAGTTTTGTAGTTATCGTTGGGACAGGCGGACGGACGCACGGACGGATGGACAGACGGCAGACATGTTTAATCGACTCAGAATTCGACGCTGATCTAAAATATACTTTTATGTTTATATTTGAAACAATTATTTCTTAGCGTTCAAACGGTAAGGCAAATTAAGTACACGATTCTAACATACGTTAGTACAAGGCAACTTGTATTCCTAAAGTGGGCGGTAAAGGCGCATTTGTTGATTCATTGGCTTTAAACGCTATTTCAAATGTCGAAATAATTCTTTTTTAATGATTCGTCTGAAATAAGCACAACAATACTTTTTTTTATTAGATTTTGCTTGACAAGGATAATATACAGTTATGGTTGTACAGAGCACATATAAACTAATAATTAAATTGAATTTGATTGACGCAGCACTAAAGTTTAATTTGATTCAAAGTTTTAAGAGAAAGAAAAAGCTCTAGTAAACAACGAAAATGTTAAAATTCCAAATTTTTATACTTAAGGCGTTCTTATTGAATATAACAGATGTTCAGATGCTTGAACATATTAAATAAATTTTAAAAATTACGTTCTTCAAAATAAAATTTAAAGGCAGTTGCCGTTATTAAGGAAACTTTAAAAAATTTAAACGGAACCATTCATATACATATGTATGTATTTGAACTTTTGTTTTATTTCTCCACGGAACAAAGTTTGAAGAACGCGGCTATGTAATGTACATATGTATGTTTTTTATTTGTAGAGCGAGTATCTGAAGATTAAAGATTATCTTTATACATCTATCTAAATAGTAATTTTTCTATTATTTTTCTTGTTTCTCTTATATGAATATTATTCCATATTAGTTTGTTTTTTATCTTTTGCTTTTTTATTTATTATAATTCGGTTCTGTTTTCTTTTATTATCACAATTTTTTGTTTCATATAAATATTATGAAGATATTTCCTTTTCATTTTCTCCCCAAACTCAAATTTATATATACATATGTATACATAAGTACGTATTATATGACAAAGAATACAATGTAAATATAGATATAACATGATCTTGTATGTATGGAAATGCAAAATCTATATAAAAATCCAAAGTGTATAATAATACAAAATGGTTTGGTCCATGTTTGCTATGTTTTATCCACAATGTGTACATGGATAAGGGTTGCCATACTTAAGATTGACTGTATGATTTCCTATATTTGATATATCTAACCCATCTATAATGTTTAAATTGTTCCAAAATAGTAAAATAAAATTTAATCCTTTTTTTATATTTTTATATTAAAAATAAATTTTTAAAGTAAAAAGTAAAAAACTATGTAATAATTGACAAAGTAAACAAAATATTCCTAGGAGTGGAAATCTGCTTATAAAATAATTTCCTACCTTTCTGTTTACACTCAGTTTTCCAGAACTGTGTGCAAAAAATTAATACAAAATATTTTTTATATTTTTATTTAATACGAAAATTAATAAGAAAAAAAAGAGAAAAACAAAATTTTTCGTTTTTTTTTTAA